GCAAAATCCTTGCACAAATGAATGGGGGAGTGGGGGATGGGCAGATGGGTAGCAACTCTCCCATCTCCCAGGAGGACCTGGTCCCCACACAGGGATTCTTCCCCAGCCAGCATCTCTGCCAAGGCCGGCCTCTGGATGCTTCCCGGCTCCCAAGGACTCCTGGGAGCCAAGACAGGTTAGGTGGGAAGGTGGGTGAGGAGGTGTTTCGAAAGCATCAATCTGTGTTTGTTTCTCTCTATTGTGGAGCTTGTCGCCCTGCTCACTGGTCATGGAGAGCCACAACGGAACAAGTGCATGCGCTCCTTTGCCGGTGGAATTCTCCTCCAGCCATCCGAGTTCTAGTCCGCGATGGGACCCGAGGGGCCGCAGACCACGTGGTCTCTCTAGCCCCTCTAAGGGGCACCGGTCCCCACCTCCTGTGCGCATGGTGATGCCACACCGTGTCCTCCCTTTTACTGTGGCTGAACCAGGGCTTGAAGAGCCATCACCTGCCGGACGCCCTGTGCCGAACATTGACTGAAACACACACAGCACCTCCTTCCAGCCTCGAGGGCCTGGACACAAACACCTCTCCCTGTCACCCACCCCCACCCCCACCCGCGGGTCCCCCAGATGACTGACTCTTCAATTTCTGCAGAACTGGAACTGGGCTTGTGGGGGACTATCCAGGTCTCCATTAAGATGGAATCCCCCCTCCATCCCCGGCACGTCTCATGGAAGAGGCTGGTCCCTGTGCCACATGGAGCTACCAGACAGTGTCCCACGATTCTCCCAGAGTAGCATGACACTCTCACTCCATGGGCAGCAACGTCCTTCTAGGGAGGGGCCCTGGCCTGAAAACCAAGGGGACTCGGGGCTCAGCTCTTTCCCAGTATGCGGTGCCCGCTGTGGCCGGACGTGGCCAGCAGCCGGAGGCAGACACTTGCCCGGTCGAAGGGTTCATGATGCAGCCCCCCTTCTCCGCAGCCGTCTTGCAGTTACAGCCCCTCTCCAGCGTGTCGTGGTTCATCCCGAAATTGTGCCCCAGCTCGTGTGCCAGGGTCACGGCCGCGCCCACGGGGCTGTCCGAATGGTCCTCAGAGAAAACACAAGAGCACAGATGTGAGGTTCCAATCAGCCCCCTCCTCTGGTCAGCCCCCACTGGTCCCTTCCATGAGCGTGGGACTTCACCCAATGCCCGGCAGCGGAAGAACACAGAGTTGGAAAACAAACTCGACAGGGTCTCCTGAACTCATCCGAGGTCCTTTCTTTTGAGGAATGTCTGCCTCTCCCTGTGGAGGGTTCTTTTGCCGTCAATGGAGAAACCACGGCAGTCACCATGGCGGCACCATCTGCCTCCCACCAGCCTTCATTGGCCACCATTCTGAGGAGGAAGTACTGTCCCTTCTTTAGAGGAAGGGGGAGAAAGCTCATTCTCCCATGGGTGAGCCAAGTGCCCGTCAGGTCTTGGTGGAGAATGATGTGGAAAGGAAGCTGGTAGGCGGGATTAGACCTGGACATGCCCATTGGTAGCTCTACTTCAAAGAGGAGGGCAATTGGAAAATCTGCCCCATTCACTTAACAGCTAACCATGCTGCGGGGCTGCAGACTCACTGAGCAAGGCTGTGAATCCCGTGATGCCTCCCTCTGGCAGCTCTCTTTACTCTTGGGGAGACCTTGGAAACAGCTGGAAATGCCTGGTTCTCTGGCTTATACTCAAGAGCTGACGCGTGTGCTTGGTTTTAGCATTGGTTGCGCCATTCAACAAGTACTGCATGCCTCCCCCCACAGTGAGTGGGGTGCTGGGATGACTGGGTTCAAATAGATACTAGAAAAGAGCTACAATGAGTCCTTCACCTTGAACGGACTGACATTCATTAAGGACTGAACATCAATGGCAGAAGTGTCCCCTGGAATGGGGCTTCTGAGAAGGCCTGGACACTAACCAAGAGCAACGGGGCCTTGTGCTGCACCCCCCAAGGAGCCCTAGGGGTGCTGCAGGGTCAGCACTGGGTTGCAAACCACAGGTTGGTGGTTCAAACCCACTGTAGTAGTGACAGAAATCAGTTGTCAGTTTGAGACTTAAGACACAAGGGTGGCATTTAGCCTGTCAATCAGGTCACAGCTTGATGACCTCATTTGGAGGTGTTGAGGGGATACGTAGCTTGCTGGAGGCGGGACACACACCCACTGCCTGTGAGACATTCCTGTGGAAAAGACGCATGGAGCTACACTAGCACCTTGGAGCTGAAGGAGCCATGTGTAGACCCACAACAGCGCTGAGATGCTTCTACTGCCACTGGATCCACAAGACTTTCCACCCACTGGCCTGTGATCTGCCTGCATTTGGTGTCATTGCATGTGTTTCATGAGTCTGAAGAGGAATTTATAGATTTGTATTGGACATATGGGCTAATACCAGACTTAAGGACTTGATCTGGACTGGGCTGGGATGTTTTCTCAATATTCAATTACTTTTGTATATCAAGCTCTTTCTTATACACATCTGAGTATCTCCCTGGATTTGTTTCTCTAGTTTACCCAGACTGACACACCCACCATCACTTTGCGGAGAGCAATGAGACTATCTGCTCTTATGAAACCTATGATAAGGCCATTCAGAGTCAGAGTGGAGCCCTGGTGGTACAAGGGGCTGCCCCCTGGGCTGCTAACCACAGGTCAGCAGTTCGAACCCATCAGCTGCTCCAGGGGAGAAAGATGAGGTTACCTGCTCCCATACAAATGCCTAGCCTTGGAAACCCAAAGGGCAGTTCTACTCTGGGTCTCTGTGAGTCAGAATGGACTCAGTGCTAGTTGCGCTAGTTTGTTGTTATTTTGATGAGAGGGAATTGACTCGGTGGTATTGAGTTTGGCATTTTTGGCTGGATTGGAATTGACTCGATGGTAGCAAGTTTGGTTTGTTGGTTTTGTAGTGCCCAGGCAAGAGACACGCGACTTTCCCTGATGCTGTGTTTCGCAGCAAACATTCTTCCGGAGACACACAGTCTTCATGGGGCCTTTTGGCTCGAGGTGTGTTGGGTTGCGTGCCACCCTATCAGTTGGTGGTTGTTGTTGTTGTTGGTTCCTGCTGCGGCTGCCAGAGACAAGGATGCCACAGTGAGGAGTTGAGTTATTCTCAGAACAGATGACATTTCCAACAAATGACTTGGTTTTGGTCTTACAGTTTCCTTTTGTAGGAAGCTTTGCAAGAATGTTTCAGGAAATCAGTTCTCACAAACAAGGCCCACTGGCGGAGAGAGGAGGCCCCAGGGAGCGGAGTGGAAGGTGAGACGGAGCCTTCTTGGGCACAAGAGTGGAAGAATTCACCCTTAAAAGGACAACTCTCCTCCCATCACCTTGTGCCCCTGAAAAATCTCAGCCTAGTTCTTAGTCACCAAGTCATCCTACACCCTTCGACACTCATGTGCCTACGGACAGAACAGCTCTCCAGAGCCCGATGCACGGTGCACAGCTGTAAGAGGAAAAGAACCATTACAAATAAAAGGCTCCTGTGTTTGTGGCACCATCCCGAATCAAGCCTGTGGCAGTCCAGTTGGACTTAAAGGCCTGGCTTTCAGTGACCAAAAGGAATGGTTCACTCGCTCTTGAAAATAAGAGAAACAGCTCACAGAAAGGCCATTTTCTGTCTCATTGAGATGCCTCTTCCCTTTGTTATGTTTGCTTTTCCGACTGGTTAGTTGGTCGTAGAGAAATCTGGCCGATGTGCTTGACTGGCGGTGCACTGGTAGTGCAGTGGATACAGCGCTCGGCTGCTAGCTGAAAGGTCAGCAGTCTGAACGCACCCGTCCGCCCTCTGAGGGTGAAAGATGAGGTGTCTGAGCCCACGAAGACTTGTGGCTTCAAACCCCCTATGAAGCAGCATGCCTGCACCCCACAGGGTCGCCCAGAGTCGGAACGCACCTTCAGGCACCGGGTTTCTTTGCTGGTGTTCACCGGACTCTCGGACTCAGTGGAGGAGCGCGGTCTACAAGTGTTGGATCCAATCGCCCTGTCGGCCTGCTTGGGTCTCTGGACCCTCGTGGTCTAGGGTGCCTAGGCATTCCCACTCTGACCATGTGCCGCAGGTTTTGGGATCAGCCAGGGGTGATGCCAAGGGACATTCATGGGGCAAAAGTGCAGATTGCTTTCCTGGTGTTGATGTTGCCCCTGACTCACTCACTGCAGTCCCCAAGGGCAGCTCCATTTGCCACTATCATTTGCCTTCAGTTCTTTAAAACGTGGGCTTCTATGTGCGCCGTTAATGAATGCAGCTCAGTAAAATGATGGCGTGGGAAAAGAAGGATGGACAGATGGACACAGAAGGAAGGGACTTGAGGTGATTGGATTGATTGGGTGGCGGAACCTGCCACGCTTGGGGAGATTTCCATTTTAGCTCTTGGAGAACACACTCACACACACACATATACACACATACACAGATACACACATGTATACACAGTACACACTCACACACACATATACACACACATACACACATGTATACACACTCACACACATATACACACATACACAGATACACACATGTGTACACAGATACACACATGTATATACACACACCCACATACACAGATACACACATGTATACACAGTACACACTCACACACATATATACACATACACAGATACACACATGTATACACAGTACACACTCACACACATATACACACAGAGATACACACATGTATACACACATACACACATGTATACACACACTCACACACATATACACACATACACAGATACACACATGTATACACACGTATACACACTCACACACATATACACACATACACACATACACACATGTATACACACATACACAGATACACACACGTATACACAGTACACACACACATACACACATGTATACACACATACACAGATACACACATGTACACACACACACAGAGCGCCAGAGCGCGTGAGTCCAATTTTAAGTGGCAGCATCAGTAGCAATGGACCACGGAGACATGAAACACAAATTCTTCCCTCTTGAAACGTCACCCAGGGCAGCCAGTGCCCTGCAGAGGCCGGACAGCGGGTTCAAAGGAAACCAGGAAGGAGCCCGTAGAAACCCCGGGACGGGCCCCACCTCCAGACAGTCACTCGACCTTCTTAGTCCACTTCTTGGTGACGTTGTTGGCCACCCCTGGGCCCATCAGAAAACCAAGTCACTGCTGACTCACAGCCCCCTCGTGGGCTGCCCAGGCTGACTGTTTATGGGAACAGAAAGCCAAGCCTCTCTACTTCGGAGTGGCTGGTGGTTTCTTTGGACCAGGCAGGTAACCACTACACCTACAGGGCTCCTCCCCAGGGGCCCAGGACAGTGAGCAGGCCTGCCGAGTCTCTGTGTTTCCAGGGGGTCGTAGGTGAGGTGAGCGCGACAGTCAGTGGGACGTCACCTGCCTGTGGATACAACGGCCTTGACACCAATGTTCTCTTTGCAAAGTGGATGGAACTGAAGGTTGCTCAGAGGGGCTGGGGGTCCTCTTGTTGAATCTTCATTCGCTCTGCATGAGTGGCCTTCAGGGGTTCTGTCTGGGGACCGACACATAGGGGACACCTAGTGTTCGGAGCAAGGAGAGCAGGGTGGGGCACCCTTTCCTTTAGTGATGGGCTGGTGGGGAGCCAGAGTCTCGCGTTGGGCACCCTACTTGAAGGCCCTTTCTCCCTCTTATGCCCACAAGAAGTAAGTCTCCAGGACTTGGCACAGACAGGGCACACAGACGAAACCACCTTTGTAAACAACTAATAGGCTCTCTGTGTCCCAAGAACGGCATTATATAGACCAGTGGTACACCCTCCAGGAGGTGTGTCAAGCTTTGCGGCGAGGTGCATGGTTGAAAACCCCCCACTTTTGGGCTCCCAGGGGTGGAGTGGAGCCATTAAGCAACCTTCCTGTGACATCTCCAAGTGGCAGAAAGCCGAGCGGCGGCGGGTCGATGGTGACCTTGCCCTGGCGGGTCACAGCACGAGGATCTCTGGGTGGAAACCCTTGGAACTAAGTCATGAAGATGATTCTTTCCTCCCATGAAGGGGGCAGACCCACCTGTGCTCAGCTACTCCCCCAGCCAAGGACTAACGCATTAGGCTCCCACCTGCTTGGCTTCCAAGATCAGACGAGATCGGGTGTGTCCAGGGTTGGCATGGCCGTAGACGGCACTGGGCTCTCCCTACATGCCCACCTCTTCTGAGCCCAACCTGTGGCACTTTATGAAGATACCACTTGGGTTTTTGGGGCTATATCAAGTCATTATCATATCTGGGGTTCAAGTGGAATAAAACCTATTGTTTCCGTGGTTGGTTTGGTTGAGTTGGCATCTGCTCATGGCAATCTCATGTGGTGGCGGCAGAGTGTGGGGGAAGCTTCCTTAGGCTGCATCTTTGGGGGTGGGGGTGGGGGGTGATGATCAAGCCTTTCTCCCAGGCTCCTGAGAATGGAATCTAAAGAGTGTGGAAGAAAACGACTTCCCTTCTCAAAGTCTGGCAGGAGGAGTGTTTTGCCTGGCAGGCATCAGGAAGAGAAAGGGGTTCTGGGTAATTCCCAGTACTTACCATGACAACGCCTCCCGACTGCTCGGCAGTGCACATGCTCATGATGGGCGCCATGCCAATGGTGGTCCCTTGGAAATGCACCCCACTGGGAAGGGAAAGGAGAGGAAGAGACTCGTGAATCTAGTGCAGGGGGAAGAGGTTCTGCCATGTGAGGTCCTGCGGGAAGTGCCTGCCTTCTGACAGGAAGTGTGAGAGGCTATGCCAAACTAGGAAGCGTGCACCTTCCCAGGTAACCCCGTTTTTAAAAGTGAATATCTCCTTTCCAGTGGACTCTCCAGTTACAGCCCAGTCCCCTCCCTCACCGCTGTGGACCTCTGCTCTCAAATCCCAGAGAACCGCCAGTCACTCTGTTTGCGAGGACAACTGTATCCTTCTGATTTCCTGATGGGCTGGGGAGTTCCCTGCTCCTTCCCGCAGTGCA